AAAAATATCATGCTCTGGGTCGATGGAGACCCAACCTTCAGAGTGGGTTGCGCTCTCAGTACATGCAGAGGGAGAGCCAGAGACCCAGCTCCCATTTAACAGATCTTAGCTCATGCAAGGACAGCATGGGCCAAGTTTATGCAGACACAGGATCAAAACTTTTGCAATTTCATTGTGAACCTAATAGGATGTGGGAGCCATCACACTGCCCAGCTTCCCCTTTGAACCTTATGAGTAAGGGAGACAGCCGTCCTGACAAACAAAATCTGTTTCTAGCCCTCAGGGTCACCAATACAAGCTTTAAACCGTGACTGGAAAAGAAAATAAGCATAAGCTAGTAATGATTATGTTAACTTTTTTGCTTTGTAGCCAGTCTCAGGCTACGGCCTCTGAAGTATAAATTTTCAGGTCTCCCAGCACAGCTGCTCTGGTTTCATGCAGCCGCATCACACCCTGCCTTCGGCACAGACCACCCCTCGCACCTTAACTCTGCACGAACCATCTTCTTGCAAGAACACGTGTGACAGCACTAAGGGATCACAAGAGTCACCCCTACCAACACCAACCAGGAAACTTAGATTAAATAATAAGGATTAAAGTAGGATCACCCCTAAAACTCACTCTGCTTCTTTGCAGAGCTCGTACCTGGATCTCTTCTCAGCCCCCAGCTGTCTGGCTTCCAGAGAGAGATTCAAAGAAGCAGCCCCTCATCTCCACCAGATTATCTCATGGGATATCCACAGCTGGCCTGAGGCAAGCGCAAAACTGTTTAGGCCGGAAGGAGTTTGTTGTTGTTGTTGTTGGATTTTTTGGTTTTGTTTTTTTAAAGACACTTTTAAGCTACTGTATTTGCATCTGAGACAACTACCCTGCACTGGAGGAACAAAGGTGCTTAAAGTAAAAGTTTCCATTCTCACTTCTTACATGGTTATGAATGACCTCAAATGGTATTTCCTATTGATTCAATCATTGTTGCATCAGGGCTATCGTATTACCTTCTGCCTGGCTAAGAGCCAAACAGCAACTAAACAGTGCATATACTTATAAAGGTGTGCAAGTCAAACGGCTACCGTGAGATTTGAATTGCCTTTGGAGAATTCACACATAAAAACGGCACTGGGTAATGAAATTGGTTGAAGCAATTTTCATATACGTTTGCTGTTACGTTAGAAATCTGGAGCTTTTAACTTCAAAGGGGCCTCCCTTTTGTTTCAGGGCACAAGTCTCCACAGAAAGCTGGGAACAGCAGCAGAGTGTTTGGGGGAGCTTGTTGCGCTGTAACATAAAATCATGATGAGACACGGAAGGAAAGCTCTTCATGAACAAAGAACTGATATCCTTCTCCATAACTTAGGGCTGAAAAGGAGCACAACAAGGACAGGCACAACCAGGCAATGAAAGCCTGAACTGGAAAAGCTGAAGCATTATCAGAAACATTCTTTTATTGACCGGGTGGGAAGGGTGCATCACCTCCCAGCGCAGTTTTGCACACTTTGATCCAGCCCCAGCGCACAAGCAAATGACGGACAGATCAGTGATGCAGTAGGGAGAAGCCTTCCCGAGAGTCCTTTATACCCAGAAGCAAAAAGACACCCTTGTCCTTGGTAGCCAATATTGTAGGACTTTGGGGTAACCTTCCCTGCTACCTGAACTGGGGGTTTAAAGGTGCCTAGCAGGAACTCCCTTGAGATGGAGCAGATGACTGACCCAACACTGTGTGCGAGCACTTACACTCCTTCCACTCGCTGCTTTCAGAGTTGAAAGCCACATCCTCCCAGATACTCCAAAATATTAAGGAAATGCTGATTTCTACTCTCTCTGTAACTGACTTGTGTTCAGCAACTGGGTGTCAGCCTGACACCAGCCTCTGCTGCCATCCATCCAATTCCTCTGGCGTATCAGCTGGTCTCAGAGAGCTACAGCCTCTCCTGAATCTTATCTCGACCGTACTTGCAGCATGCTATGGCCGTTCCACTTCCTTGCAAAGCAGACAACCTACTGCCTCGCACCCATAAAGCCAAGGGATAACGCCCCCTTCCATCGTCTCCAACAGGCCTAAGCAAGGACATGTTTCCCCAGGAGCTGATTTTCCAGCAAGGACAGGGTATTCCCGGTACAAACTACACTCACAGCCCAGAGGAAGGTCGTTCAAGGAAACACGTGGGCAATACCAGTTGCTATGCCAAGGGGCAGTGCCAGTCAGCATCACATGAAAGATAAGCTAGCCCGTGACCTATTGCTCTGCCTAATTCAACAGCAGCTATTACGAGAAAGAGGAAGAGGCAAAATATTCTGCCAGCCTATTGAGCAACCAGTGTTCCCAGTCCTGGTGTCCCATTTCCATTGCCTGGGCATGGTTTTAGAGAAGTGTCTAATGAAGCACACAGGTCTCACAGTTTGTTGCATGAATGTAACACTTCAGTGATCGACTTGCCCTAAACTAGTCTCATTAGTAAAGGGTTTTGCATAAAGTGCTGGCGTCAGAAGTCAGAAGGTAAACCTAATGAGAGATTTTAATCAGCCCCAGCACAAAAGGAAGGAGATTCCTGCATAAATCCAGCTGAAAACAGAAAAGCTCTCCTTTGCTGCTGGGATCAGAGTTGTGCTGCAGGAAGATAGCTAGGTGCTAGGGTGCAGGTGAAGGAAAAGGGGGATACAGCAAACACCAAGGATCTAGCCAGCTTCCCTAGAGCACTGTCGGGCTGGGACAAGTACCCTTCAAAGTCTCCTCTGCCACCATAACACATAAGCATGATGTAGCTCTGCAGAATAATTCCCAATGTAGGAAAAAGAATCCAAACAAAACAAAAAGCTAGAGAGAAGGAAGGAAACAGAAACAGGAAACTACAAGGACACTCTTCATAAAGGCCACTGCTGCAGGATAAAGGGCCGTATTTTTATGCAGTCCCTGAGGTGTAAGAGGTAAATTCTTCTCAAAATCCATCCACATTTTAGGCACCTGAATGAAACAATCAGCGTTCCCTGACGGCTCAAGTTATTCACTGCTCCCAGTGAGGAGAGGGGGCTTGCGGAAAAACTAGCTGTCTCCTCACAACCACTTAAGTAGGAGCTGAGCTCAGTTAAAATATAGGACATATCTACATCTCAAATAGCAACAGATTATGAAAATAGTAGGACTTCCGGCAGGGAAATCTCTTCTCTGGATTGGACTCCACAGACAGAAACGTGCTATTGACACCTGAAAGGCGTAAGATCATCTAGGTCAGTTCTCGTTAAAAAGCCTTGCACTCTGTCCAATGCGTCAATACAACTTCGCAGCCAAGACACCTAGCTGGACTCTGGAGACGAGATCTACTCTTGCTGCTGGCTTTTCTGGGAGACCTGGGGATGATATACAAGTGCTGAGGCACTGGTTTCTGCTTTAGTTGCTGTAATTGTGGTTTCAGAGAACCTTGGAAGCTGCAACAAGATTTGGGGAGATTTGTAATTGCTTAGACCCATGCCTTTCTGCAACACTCAGTACGCTGCTGTGGAAACCTAACCAACAGCATCTTCAGAGTCGCCAACACAACAAACATTAGAGAGAATATATTCTTATGAAACTCTCTCTTACTCCCTGCCCGAAGCACATTGAGGTTTTAAACTATGGCACAGGAAGCAACCATTTAGCTATTCAAAGTTTTCAATCTATGTGGAAAACATATCAAGAGTAAATTATTCCTCTCCCTTTCTGCACACATGGGCGATGGTGCTCTGCAGTGCCTAAAAGCCTTCGTTATGAGCCAAGCTCCTCATGTTCCCATGTAACATGCTTCATAAGCAGTGAGGTCGACTTTGAGTCATGGGACCAGCTCTGCTGGCTCAAACTCCATGACTTGCAAGCAGTTGCAGTGTGGCTCCCGTGCAGAGCTATGCAGCTGTGGGGCTATACTGGTGCAGCTGATCCAGATATCCCTGGTCCCTGGCTGTGGGAGGAAACAAGACAGCTAAGTCTGCTGTAGCCAGCATGGCTAGGGCATGGCTGGGCTACTCTGCAGTGGAGTGATGGGACCCTTGGGAACCGCGGCTGCTTCTCTCACCTTGAGGTGAGTGGCATAGAAATTTCAGTGCAATGCCTCAGGGTGAAAAGGGAGGCCATCCCAAATAGCCCACCTTATATACAGGGCTTCAGGACAGAAGGCCTGTGCTCAACCAAAACACAGCCATCTTTCTTAAGTCCCAGAGCTGCCTCATTTCTCTTCCCGGCTGTTCACTTGGAGAAGGAGGAAAGCGGAAGGAACCAGTTTCATGGTAAGCCATGACCTGCCAAGTTATAAAAGTAAACAAGTTGTCTCCAAGTCCGTTGGAAAGGCTATACTCCTGCTGTAGGGACATAACTGCAAATTTCATCCAGAGAGAAAGCAGTTGGAGAAAAGGATAAAAATTTCAGCGAGACATGCTGCTTGACAAAGAATTCATTTGGTGCTAACGGCCCCGCTTCTTGCTACCAACATGAACCACGGTCCCAAAAGGCAGTGCATGAACAGACACGAACAATGAAGTGATTTGTTCTCAGGAAGCATTCAACCTCTGCCAACAGTCAACCGGATTCAGACAAGAGCTGGGGCAGTCAGACTGGCACACGGCTGACCAAATGAGAAACTGTATCACTTGGCACAACACTGCTATTTCCAGCACTTACATCCCATCCTCATGTTAGGTCAACTTTTTCACTCTTCAGAGAAAGAAAACTATGTGTAATGAAACCTGGATCTACAAAGGCCAAAATTTTTCACTGAGAGCAGTAGAGGGAGGTGTCCTCACCTCGTAATATCCCTCAGCAGGTAGTCTGACTTCCAGATATTCTCAACCTTCGTAGCTGTCAGCTACAGCCTAATATATAAAGCACCTTAAACATCTGCAGAATGAACGTTATTGTTTCAGCCATCCAGTCCTCTTTATTTATACTGCTTATCCTTTTACTTAGCAGAACTAGCTCTCAGTGTCATTAAAAGAAAAACAAACAAAATGAAGCAACACTTTAAGAGACTTTTAAGATGAAACACCAAGACATAATGGAAACCTTTTTTTAATTAAAGACATCATTAGGTCATTCACACCCGAAGCGAACAAAATAATTTACACTCTCCAAAACTGTGCATTTCAAGTCATCAGAAGAGCATTTACCACATTTCAAAGAAGATAAACCCAAAATGAACATTCCAGACTGTCAAATGGATTTCTTACAGTTTGTATGTTTACGCAGTGAAGTATTTTCACTTTCATTGCAATAAAGTAATGCACTCATTTCTTGGAAACTTGCAACATATGCCAGGACTGCTGAGAGAACTTGTAATAAAAGCAGTACATGTTCCAGAAGCTTACTAGACATCCTAGAGTTTGCCACTCAGTCTGTTGTTTGGAGAGCATCAGATCCTTAAAGAATGGAAGGTTGGATCAGGATCCCATAATCGGATATAACGTCCACCCACCTCAGGGCAGAAAGAAGTCTGGACATGGGAAAAACCTTGCTTTGAAACATCAGATACTGAGCACTGACAAGATGCTAGGCTAGAAAAATTGCTGGCCTGATAAGGTGGGACAGCTCCTGCACCCGGAAGTTTTGTTTCTTTTCAAAATTGTTGCTGCTGTTAGTAGCAGATTCCCAGAAAGCTTGGCTAGAACAGCCTGATTTGAAGTTTGTTTTGTTTGCCCCGAAACATTTTCTTTCTCTCCCTTCAACAAATCCTCGAGAGCCCCATTCCTTTTACAATCCATACGAACAAGCACAGGTTTCTGCAAAGTGCAGTATGGCCTGGAGAAGTCCACATGGCTTAACCACAGAGATATTCTGCTACTTAGTTTCTCCTGGGGTCAGCAGAGGTATATGAGACTACATCCGTACGCTCGTTGCTAGCCATGCCCACAGTGCGCCGCAGGGTCCAAGGTGCCGGGCAGGACTGGGGCGCAGCTCAGACGCTCCTCGGTGAGACTACTCTTGCTGGGCAAGGGGCACCTCCTGGCTCTCCCACTCCCCTGCTCCAGCCCCAGAGCTCCCTCCTCCTGGGAAGCAACTTGTTCCAATCTGGAGCCAGATTGCAAGCAAGTGTGAAGACAGTGCAAACTGCCAGGAAGTTTTGGCTCAAAGATAGACTTATGCCCCAAGCTAAAGGGAAAGTCCAGATGTACTTAAATGCCTGCAAGGAAGGTAGCTTGCTTGCTTTTCTACTACTACTATTCAAAGATGTGTACGAATGCAATGTAGCGCGTTTCATTTCCACCCTGTAACCTCCACCACGATTTATAAAGACTAGTGAACTTTCTTTAAAAAGAACAAAACCAAACCAAGCAACCTTTGTCCTTCCCCAGGACAGGAATATTTTACCTCCAGAGAACTTCCTCGCTTGTCCTGCTCTACACATTTCAATCCACCAAGAAATAATAACTTCTGACACCAAACCAATGTCACTGGTGGCATCCTACATGCCTAGGCTCTCCTCATGAGAGACCAAACACAATGAGTGGTTCATGCCTGCTCTGCACCACTTCTGAGCAAACACGCTGCAGAGGCAGGCCAGGCCGAACAGGAGGGAGCTGTGTTTTCAATTCAGGTGGAGACAAAATAGTTGGCAAACGAATTTGTCAATAATAAAACGTAGTGAAATGTGAAATGCACACCCTAAAAATCCACATGACCCCAAAGAGATCTACCAGAGAGAGAGAGAAATGAACATATCCCTTAAGAAACATATTCACCCAATCACTGCCAGCTGGTTTTAAAGCAATCTTACAGAGTGACTAAGCCCTCCATGCAAATTTAAATAGACGTATGCAGTTCATGTCTTGTATTACACTATCCATAAACAAAATTAGACTGACTATATAGAAAAGCTATATCCAAGAAACGTGGTAGAATCACATAACCCTTTGGTCCCAGAAAATCTTTCCTTTCAGATCTATGTGATAGGTGCAATTACTACATTTGCTCCCTGTAAACAAGACCATAGCCAGGTTAAGTACAATCACACCCCTCTCATTCAAGCAGGCAGTTTTCACCGGTCCAATTATGAATTTACCAGGGTGGTGTTGCGTCTAGCAGCAGCCTCTGCACGGTGCATAGAAAAAACACCCAACAACTTTTAAGAGTGAGATGCAGAATTTACTGTGTACATGTCACGGATCCAGGGGTCACTTATCCAGGGACCTTTCAGCCCTGAATAGCGGTGTCCGACTGACAAGCACAATATCAACATTTCTCATTAGCTTCAAAAGCTTCTGAGTACGTTGCAGGGGCTTTCTGTGAACGCTGCAGAGCAAAGAGGGACAGGTTACCTTGTCAGCTTCTCAAACTGCTGCTCAGCTGATAATTTATTTCAAAGTATTTCAAAGTATATACACAGTTTCCCTCATCCCAAGCATTTGGGAAACAGAAGTTTCTCAAGCATTAATATAAAAAAATACCCTCACGGTTTTCGAACTCTATACTCACACTAAGAGTTGAGCACGCAAAAAAGTACGTACGGAGTTCTGCCTCGCAGCAGGGCAGAGCAAGAAACACACACGCTTATTCACACGCTTCAGCTTGTTTCCTTCAGTTCAGTTCTGCAAGAAGCATTTTGGATTTTTACTAATCTAGATCTTCTGCCGGGTGCCTATCAACCTCCTTTAGCTGACTTACAAGGATACAGTTTTGGTCTCCACTCATGGTACGCCCACTAAGCTGGGGGAATTGGAGGGGGGGGGGTTGTTATGTTTTGTTTTGGTTTGTTTGTTAAGTAGTTACCTGCACTCAACACTTCTCAAAAGCTGCCTCTCAAGGTCAGGTCTGCTCCAACCTGAAACTTAGCACTGCCATAAAATAAATAAAACTCAACTGCTGGGGCATTCTGTATGTCCACATATGCAAATGAACGTGCGCAGCACTTCCATGTTAACAACTTGGCCATTGATATTACTTGCTGGAAAGAAGACATGGTTTCAGAGGAAAAAGAAAAGTTGGCTATACTAGAAAACCACAAGGTGAGTTTTCATGGCTGCTTTCCGTTGCTCCCTTTATGTGAATCACAGGACATTTTTCTATTAATTGTGTTTATTACCTTCGAGAGGAGGTAGGTGAATCTAAGGACAGGTTGGAGATTTTCTGTCATTTCTTTGCTTAGCATGGAGATTTATAGGACAGAGGCTATCAAGGGCCTATAATCCACCTTAGGTCCTATGCAGTTTGGGAGTTCAGGCAACATCTGCACTCCAACTACTTTAAGCTAGGCCTGGGAACACCCTGAAGTCACCAAAGAGTAAATTATAATCTACACGTGAACATGACTAGATTTTAAACTGGGGGTTCTCTTGCCCTACAAAAAGATCCTGATTCCAATTTAAAGTCTATTATTCAAAGAGGTTACAGCAACCTGAGGGTGGGGTCCCTTTCTGCAAGAATCGGACGCTGTCACTGATCTTGGTCCCTCTCATGGCAACTACATCACACGAGGTAATTGCCTTGGCCGCTCAGTTGCCACTGCATACCCACAGGCACAGTCCAAGGTCTCAGTGCAAGCACAAAGTTTTCTTCCAGTCCTATGGAAACAGTTTGTGGCTGCGCAACTCTTTCCTCCAGAGGAAGGTAAATGTTACTATTTGGAGTGGCTTTTAGACTATGCTCCTCTTGTTTGTTTCTTGAGCTGAACCTCTGAAAGAAAAGCTTTAACTTCTCCCTTTTTGTACCTCCTAAAGCATTTGCTTTCCACCTATGACAAATACACTCCCCCCTGCCAGCAGCAGCCAAGTTCCAAGGCAAACTGTGTTTCCGGAAAAGGTGTTGCTGTTGTCCTAACAGCAGTGTCACATGAGGGGATGTTATTGAAAAGCCAACGGTCAATGAAGACTTCAGCGTTTCCTCATCACTGTTACTTTTGAGAGGAAGAACAACAAACAGTATTGGCTTCTTACATCACTGGCAGAATTAACTGCTGGATTTTTATTTAGTGAAGGGCTTCCCGATCTCTCTTGCCTAGAGATCATTTCACACTGACTGAAGATCAGTCCAGATTTCATAAAGACAAAACATTGTTCAGAAGTGAAGAACATCAGAAAACGTGACACAGATCAAAGGCGCTTGCCCATAACCAAATGGTAAGGGAAAGTTGCTTCTGATCTGTTCACGTTTTTATGGCTTCTCCTCTGAATGAAGAAACAAAGTTGTTCATTCCAGCGGAAAAGTGGATTATTCATTCTGCAAACGTTAAAAAGCAAAATTAAGAAAGAACACAACCTAGAAAGAACGTATAGGAGTAATAGCTGCAGATAAAGCTGCTCATCAGATCCTCAGAGGTGAGCAAGGACTCCACTTGGGGCAATGGTGTAGTGTTTTTCAATTGCTCCAGGTCAAATCACAAGTTGATGAAATGCTTTTTCTCCAGTCTGTGGCGGTCAAGCCCAGATCTCATCCCACACAAAACTCTCAGTGCACATCCTTTGAATACAGATGTCCCCCAGCTCATCCACAAGGGTGTAGTTTTGAAAAAGCAAGGGACAGGCTAGTTCAGCAAGCGATATGTAAACAAGACAGCTGCCTGGCCAGACTCCTGCGCTGAGCCCTGCAGACCATCTCTAAAGGCCATTTACTCTGACACAGAAGGCAGAGAACACGAGACTCTTCTCAAGGTGGCACTGTCTCTTAGGAGTAAACTATCAGAGACACTGGGAGTACATTCATCTATCATATCAGTCCTGGGCTGCTGCTAAGACCTTGAATTGTAACAAGGCCCTTGTTTTAACCAGGTGTAGAAACAACAGAAGATGCATCCCATCAGATAATCCCTGAATCACTGTGCAAGGTGTACATGTGCGATATTAATAACCCACTCTCTTCTCAGGTAGGTCGCCAGTAAAGGTCATTACAGGAAGCTGGCTCCATCCTTCAGCAATGTGACAGGTGATTCTTGAGGAAAGCAACTGTTCTCACTTCCTGTAGGACTGGCTGCCTGCAGAAGAGAAGCAAGAAAGAGCCTGTCAGCTGAAAGCAGGATATATTACAAGACAGGAGCTGCCCGAGGGAAACACTTGTTTGACCTGTACAGTGACACAAACACCACAGAAAATATGCACAAAGGGACCTTAACCACTGATGTTGCAACTTAAAAATACAGTGACGTTGCAACTTAAAAATACAGTGGCACTCCTATTAAATCACTCTTCATTTTTCTGGTAGGGGTTTTTGATTTACACTAGCACCACCCCGCCCTAGACAGAACTTCGTACACTGCATACGTAATTTGACCATGCCCGTGCAGAAGAGATTGGAACAGATCCATAGTAAGCCATAGGGCAGATTAAATCATTCATCCACACCTACATGGGGCACATAACGCGTAGCTAAAATAAAGTCTAGATTTGGAAGCCCATCCTATGATCCAGCCACACTGGACTACCAAGTGTCATCCCTCTACCAGCTGGGAAGTGGAAACAGCATAAAGCCCCAGAATGGGGAGTTTTATTTTTAGAAGCTCAGTTTTGCTTTAAGGTACAACAACTTACAACTCCCCGAGCAACAGCAGGCTACATCTCTGGCAGGAATCTGGCCCCAGGCAGGCCTGTGGCAGTCACACCGAGTACCTGGGCTTCCTCTGCATTCCTAAGGCATTCCACACACACTTGCTGGTACCAAGAGGAGCGGTCCAGCTAGTTCAACTACGTTTATGTAAAAGCAGAAACGTGTTTCCAGAAAATACACGTACAATATTAAAAGCAAACTAAAAAACATCTCCCTGAAACAAGTGATCACGTCTCATTGTGTCCAGCAGCTATAAAAATTTGTACTTTTCCAGAAATGCTAAGAAACTCACAAACGAAAACCAGTCTTGCAGAGGGTTAGAGTCTCTTTTGGTATACAAAAACCTATATACTTATGCAGCAGGCAAAGGGGAGGCAGGAACTGCTGAGTCCTACTGACTGCTGGTATCCGTGCCTCCGATACAACTTCAGACTCATCTACGAAAGTCAGCTAGAAAAATAAAAGAATAGCATCTGCCTAAAGAGAGAGATGTAAGCACAGAGCTTTACCAGGGAAACATTAGGGATTCACCTCCTTCAGATGCCTCCCGGCCCGTTTAGCTAGGAATTGACTTTGAGTTAGTGTGAGTTAGGTTTGGACTTAAGTGCTTTAAAGCCCTTTTTAGTCCTTTAAAAATCTGGTCCTTAACACCTGCCTCTCAGTTTTCCCAACCATAAAAACCTGTGCAACAGCCCCTGCAAGATGGAGAGTAACTAACAGGTGCTCGAAGACAGCAGACAGCAACACAGGATGCACAGAAGCAGAGTGTATGAACACAATTTCTTTATAAATTACTTTGTTATTTTTTAGCTGCAAGATAAGAGTTTAATATCTAACAGTCAACTGCTAAAATGAAGTCTGTCTCGGGGAACCCATGACAGCTAGGAAAAAAATACCTGGAAACCCAATGGAAAACTACAGGGAAAAAATGAATGGACACATAATAAGATATGATGCCCACTGTACATTCAGCTTCAGGATGCACGGGTACAGCAAAGATAAGGGGTACATGGTAAGACAAACCCTAGCTGATAAAAGTCAAAAATTAAGAGAGCGTAAGAGTCTGGACTTATAAATGACATATACCGAATCAACAGAGAAACCCAAGCGATGAAGAACTTTGATCACACTCTGCTTCACTGCAATTTCAAAATGAAGGACGTTATACACTGTGCCAGTGGAAAAGAAACTTACTCCAGACCCCTATGAGAACAACATGCACATGTCTCATCTTTGACATCCAAGAGCATAAAGGTGTACTGGAGAAACTAAAATAAGTGGACAAGAGTTTTTGTGTGTACACACACATTGTGCTTTTTTCCGTTCTTCAGCAGAGCTTTTCCTTTTTAATGGACTAGCACTTTTGCAAATGAAGTGAAACAGGAACCAGGGACACACTCTTGGCAGTTAACACCACAATCAGTCAGGACAGAACAGTATCACAAGAAACAGAAAGCACTAGTGTCAGAGGTAAAACACAGGAAACTGTGCAGCAATGCTAAAGCTGAAAGAGCTGGCAGTGTTACCTAAGCACAGGACTGCTCAAGCAAGTACTCCTTATGTCAGAAAACTCCCTTAGCCACCAGGACACTCCCTTCCATTGCCTCACCTGCACTCCCCAAATGAAACCACCCTCTCTTCCTGCAAGTGCAACTGTGTGGAACAACAGGGAGTGAGCAACATGGCCAAAAGACCTAGGAAGCTCTTTCCAGTTCTGTTGCTGCTTTATTAGGTTGTTTCAATTCCTTGGGATTCATTTTTCCCATCTGTAAAGAGGAGCTAATGATATGCACATACTTCATAAATTTCTTGGGAAGGTTTACAAGGTGCTATAAGCCACCCTGTATTTGCACAAGGTTTAAAGGTAACAGTTACAGCTAAAGAGCAGAGCTGACCAAGACCTGATACTTTATCTGTAATGCATATAAAGAGTTACATTATGATCAAATAATCATCATTAAATTTCTTATGATATGTTTGCAATAAGAATACACAGCTCATGGCTCCAGCCATTTTTATTGATGTTGGACTGAAAAGTATACTTGAATCCAGCTAGTCCTAGCTGCACTCCAAAGGAAAAGTTTAGTCTTTACTTAAAATTGCATCTTTTTCCCCAGCAAAGACACAGCTTAGACATCCTCAAGATTTGCATATACATTTACTGCGGTGTAAGCATCTGAGACCCACAATTCCACTTCACCAGGCTTGTGTTGGGTGGCTTAAGGCAAGCTTCCACCTCTTTCCTCCAACCTCAGGTCATAGTCCTCTTCCCTTCTGAGCCCATGGTAAACTAATTATTATTGCTTACTCTTCTTTAGGAAAGGTCATATCCATCTGGTTCTTAAATATCACCCTCCAGCAGAATCACTGCCACAAGCCATGCACTACCCTTGGCTGTCTGCTTACTAAGCTGCCCTGAGCCCATCTTCTGAACTGCCTGACATCTGGTCTACGCTCAGCTGCAGTGTACACACACCCGGGGATCCAAATTCAGGAACATTAGACAAGTTATACAGCAGAGTAAATGAGCGTCTAAAGAAAAGGAGAAAGTCTAATGACATCTAGACAAAGTTTAAACTGAGAAAAGGAGTTTCCCCCCATACATAAACACATTTGAGAACTTGGGCTACTTTTCTCTGCCTAGAGATGGGAAAAAGTATGTCTCTAAATTCTCACAGAACATAGGAGCAGTGCGCTCAGCAGGATATAATTACATAGTTGTGCATCCTGCAGATGACAAGTACAATGTCATATACTGCTGGCACGCTTGTAGCGTACAACTTCATTCCTGGAGAGCTCCTGCAGAGCGCTCTCCCTTCCCACACCAAGCACTGACAAGTAGAACAGCTACTTTTTCCACTTACTCTGCCTGCTCCTTGTGGACGATCCTGAAGAACTGGGGCGGCTCATTTGCTGGGGTCCAGACTGAGAGAACTGGGGGGCAATGGTCGGGATCTTTCCCTTTCTAGGGCTGGCACTCTGCACTTCAGGAGTGCGAGGGATCTTAGGTTTGCTGGTAAAGGCTGAGGAAAACTCACTGTAGGAAGAGAGGGGAGTTAGTTAGTAACGTATGCAGAAAAACGTATGCATATTAAATCTGCAACCGAGTGAAAGTCACAGTACACACTGTGACAGCACGGTAGACTGCCGAAAGTTTAGGGAGACCACGAACAGAAAGGAACATAACACCTCAGGTCCTGCCCCACATCACGTACTCATTAGACACAGCCTGCTCAAACCTGGCCCTTTGGACCCGCCTGTCCTACTCAGACCTGCCTCTTTGGACCACAGGACCAGTTAAGTCCCTTGCAACTGCGGACAAACGAGTAATAGAAGTTTAGTTTGTTTTCTGTTGTATTTATCGTACACAGATATTATTACCACACTGATCTGAGGTGCAAAAAGCATATATACATATGCTACACTGTATATGTACATACATACAGTACAGGAATCAGACATCCTTTTGGGGCACAGAAACTATTATTTCTCCTGGATACAGGTCTCAATCCTGGCAGACACAGACACCCTTCCCGGCTCCCAGCAATGAGATTTGTAGAATGTCCCAGGGCCGTTGTGAAAAGAGCAAAAAGCTGTGAGGGCATCTATGAAACAAATTCCCTGAGCACACAGGTTCCTTGCTCACACTGAGAGCTTAAAACAGCTGCTCTTATTTTACAGCCCGCACGTGCTGCAAGAATATCATTCTTTAAAATCTAGTCCATGGTTGTGTAAGGACTCTCCTTTCCTACCCCCACCATCAATATACTCTTTCCAAGGTACAGAAAGTGGACGCTACCAGGAAATAGTAAATCTGAATCTATATTCATGTTTGCTCTAGTGAGTCAATTTTCTCTTGAAAGGAAAAAAGGTTAAATTGAAATAACAGCTGCATGAAAAAGCACATCATACTTAAAAGGAAATAAAAGCAGAACCAAGGGAGGATCCAAAAAGGTGCCACCTAAAGATAGGCAATAAAAATGGTAGCTGGAAAGCCTCTGTTATTCACTCCATCAAAAGAACCCTTTGTGACCAGCAGAAAGGGTGATTAGGAGGATATTCAAGACATTTAATCTCCCCCCCATTCCCCAAGAATGCTGCTGAGTCAGTGCTGATTAGCCATTCCATAGCCCTGCTTCTCATTTTTCGGAAGATACGGCAGCAAACATTTCTTTTATATTTTAAATAGCATTAATTGTCTGTATTTTGCATTTGTATGTGCTAGCTATTAAGGACACAGACATGCTAAATGGTCTGCTCAGGGCCATCTCTGCAGCCTTTTACCTATCTCTAAGCATTATAAGTATTACTCTTTTTATCTTTTAAAAAGGGGAGGTGGCAAATGGCAGCAGCAAAAACACACTAGCAAAACAAAACTAAAAACTAAGATTGGCTTAGTTAAACCCCAAGCCCTGGATCACACACTTTTCAGACCAACAGAAGAGATTTACATGTCTCTCTCCATAGAATAGTTTAATTGTTAATGCTTGTTTTGATTTTACTCATTTGGGTGCAAGTGCTGGGTTTTCCATAGGCTAGCGCTCCACACGTTAAGTGTATGTGGACTGTGACAGGATAACACACACAAAAAAAACAAGGCCCGGCAGCCTTATAGCAATCTTTGACCCATAAACGAGCTTTTTTCATTTGGTAGTAAGTAACAAAACCCTGAGTCTTTATTTCCATACACGAATAAATGTTTTCATAGTATGAACAACCTTCACAGCGTTTCACTACAGCAACCTACACAGCTAGACTACAAGCACTTTGGAGACAAAGCAAAGTAATACACCCAGAATCACTGGACTTGATGAGTGAGAGAGAATACGGCAGACTCGCATCTTCGCAAGTCTCCAGGAAAGTATTCTACGAAATAAGCAGGCAGCAAACACTGTAGAAAAATCTGTTGTTTCTCTGAGAGGATGTTGAGCAGATTTCACACCTCCATATACCCAGGTGTCACAGAACCACCTCATCTTTTACCCACATCAGTAAATAGGCAAATATCAACAGAAAAGAACTCAATCCTCAAAATAACTTGCAAACTGCTATTTAACACCCTTTAGATCTTGACTAGATGAAGAAAGGAGGAGAAAAATCTATTGTGTATTTGGTAGGAGAGTCATTTATGACAAGGTGTGGTAATTTGAGAGCAAGCGCTCTGAAAGAAAAAAAAACAAACACACACAGTGCCATGTCCCATGGTGTTAAACAGAAACTTACCCTTGCACTGAGAAGAAACGAAACTGTTTATTTAGAAAAAATGGAAATAATAGCCTATTAAAAAGCACATAACAGACTGCCACTGGGATCTGAATAAACAACCAAGAGATGTGACAGGGCCTGAACATACGAAGATGAGTTACGGAGTTTTCTGCAAGAGAAATGCGCTTGGACTTTTTAAACCAGCTTTACCAGATTATTGGAAAGGTGAGACCACTAGAGACCTAAGACGACCCTACAGAGTTTAATATCTGCATCAGGTTGATATTGGACACAGCCACAACAACAAATAAATGCCTTTTCAGCCAGCCACAAGCACAAACTCAGATCTATTACTCACAAATCCACCCCTGCTTAGCTAAAAAGCACAACAGATCTGTATTCTTATATGATCAGAACGCAGCAGGCAGTAGCAATGCAGGGGCAGCTGTCAGCCTGGCACACATCCGCTAAAACAATCATTTGTTCCTATGGAAATGAAACAACTGTAATAGACATGCCACTACTACAGCCTCATTCTTCTTCTCAGACTCATTTAGCGTAAACGTAGTTCCACTGAACTTCATGCAGTTAATGCCCAGTTTATACTGCTCAAGGAAGAGGGGGAAACAGGCGCAGTGATGCTTGCATCACCACAAATCAGTCCTCCTTTTCCCATACCTTCCTCTTCTAGGAAAGAAGGAGACTTCTTGCAGCGGATGAAACTATGACCAAAGGAACAAATTATTCATTCTGTTTGTTTTGCAAACAAATTAAAGTATGCTCCAAGCAGGAAAGAAAGAAAGAAGAACAAAAAGGCAGGGCTAGCTATTGCAAAACCAGCACATTCACAAAAGACCCCTGACACAGAAACCCCTGTGTTCTGCTTGGACTGTGAGTAGCTACATTCCTGTATCTGTAACTTGAGGCTGCTTTTGTAAATAGAAATTACTGTACGCATAGTAAGGAAGCATGCAATGGAAAGATAAAATCTCCTTCGGCAGGACACTGCACCTGCGCCTTGAGTTAGAGATCCACCTAGTAGTGAGATTTAGATACACATTTGTGAACAAAACTTCAAGATTACAGAAGACAAGGCTTTTGTTGTTGTTTTTTTCCTAAAGAAAAATGGATTATGGCTGTAAAAAAGCAAAACCTCTCACTAAGATGGGGGACAAGACACTGCCAATCTATGATTTCTTTCACTGCCAAAGCCTGAGGCTGAAAAACAACCTTTTTCTCCATCACCTGGAGCACAAAGCAAGCAATTTGACCATAAAATTCTGATGACCCGTCTGTATTTGTAGTATGTGCTTGGCTACTATTATTAGAGGCTACACAGAAGTAAAATCAGTAATGCTTCTGCTGGGATAGGGGGATGACTATTACGCATCGCAGCTGTTTATCAATGATAATTCGTTGACAATAGATAATTTCTCAGATCTCACCATGGAAACTGCACAATCCAGATATTAAAAAAACAAAAAACAAAAAGAGTCATCTGTGGGCCAGAAAGAAACAAAGCTCTAAGCAGAGAGTCCAGCTTTCAGAAGTGCCAGAGCTTTAACTGACATGAATAACTAGGCATTTCTGAAAAATCAGATCCATAAAGAGTTGGTAAAACCTTTCCTGTAACACATCTCCACCCATTCTGTGTTTTACTTCTGGAATGTATTTGCTTTTAAAATTTCTCTACAGTCACTGTTTAAAACTTGGCCCAATCAAATTAGCTATAGGAAAAAGCTGTTAACGTCTGATGGATACTTGAGGGCCCTGAAAAACTTTGGTCCAATTCCTAATGGATTCCTAGTTCTCATCCAAGATATAACATCATAATACTACATATGACAAAACCTTGACAGAGGCCTCAAGGTATGAATGGGAGAAGGAGAGCAAGACCTTTTCTCTTCCTTTGACAAAAAGTCTTTCAGGAAACTGTTGAAACCCAGTGCTAGGGGAACTCCCAATACCGCCTCCCTTCCTATATCTGCCCAGTGGATCAATCAGGGACTCTGGTCAGCAGTGCTAGAACTCAGCACGTTCAAACACTTTGAATCTACTTACACGCTTAAGCTCTCTTCCTTCTGCAAGTTAATTCCTGTCATGTTCCTACGGCCCTACATCTTTCTTTACTAATAAATGTTTTTCATGATGTACAGTAGAGCCCATCATCTAAGAAAGCAATAAGGAAATTTTACATGCAGAAGACAATATTGTGCATACATGTGATGTTCATTAATAACGTCTTAGTCAAGATTTCTCCCATTCTGGACCAGATGTCTAGAAACTGAACAGCTGCCACTGGCACAGCTAAGGGTATTTTGTTTGGCAAGCATCATCACAGCTGTCTCACATCAGACTACATCATACATCAAATGACTTCACAGGTTGTCTTTATAGCAGCATGGAATTAGCTGGTAAGTCCCGGCCCGGCCCCTCAGCCTCCTCCTGTGCTCTTACATCCTCATCTGGATAAGTCATACCTATTAGGTTGCCCATTTACGTTGTCCTGGGTGAACTCAGTAGATCGGGAAGACAAGATGTTGTCAACAGCTGGGATGTGTTGGTCCATTCTGTGGCCTGATGAGAATATCTTCGATGACTCCATTTCAATTGCTATTTAAGAAATAAACACAATTCAGGGAAGAGCATATGCCAGCCAATGACTGACGTTTGTTTAAAGTCACAGGAACACAACCACTTGCAGTTCTCTGTACATAACCCCAGCAACAGGATAACAGGCAGCCACTGAGGACAAAAAACAGTACTACAAATGCCTCTGTCAGAGCAGAGGGAGGTCTATTACCTTTGTCTCGTTAAACATTGCCTTCTGCCTTGCACCAATGCAGAACGGAAGGACAGTCAGTTTGCTGAGAGACACAAGGCCACCAGGACGTGCAAGTCCAACAGGACTTTAAGGAAAATCCCTAGCTTCATTTCTCCCGTGCCCAGGACAGGTTGCCCTCCTGTGTTTATTTACTTTCACATGTGGATAGGGAGACAGATCAGATCACTTTCAGATGAGCACGGGGCTGGCCAGCATACCTGCTGCCTGGCAGTCAGCTTTAGTAGCACAAGAAGATGACCAGGATTCACCTTTAGCCCACAAGATTTCCGCTTGCAGGAGACAAACAAGAGCCAGAATTATAGATTCGTTACCAAAGTGACAAAAAGGGAGGGTAGTCCCAGACAGATTCAGAAAAATGAGAAGGTGACTCAAAAAGAGGTGAAGGAAGACATTAAGAACTGCTTTCATTTATAGAAAACAGAAGAGGATCAAGGTTTCTTGAGGCTAAACTTTGCTTCCTTGAGGCATGGCCTTGACGACGCCAATTGATCACACGAAACTTTTATTCTAACCACCTTTTCATTCTTGGTCTCTTACCACTCTTGATCACGACTTGACTGCATGAAACTCTGAAACCCAAACTATTCATGTGATACTGGAAAATACGTGTTCTGAAGTGAGCAGATTCCTCGTACTGCTTAATAAGCATCAGACCAAGATCAGAACTCAATAAACTGCATATTCTATTTCACAGCCACAGTATTTCCCTGGGTATGAAAAAAAAACTCTCGAAGAGGCACAATTATTTTTATATCTTTCTCTTGTGCACTGTTCACTGCAGTATCTAGGAAGGCACTAGAAGAGAAAGTGCAGAGAAGCTTTGAGGAATAATATTTTTCAGAATTAATGGTCTCAAGGGCTTATTTTACACTCTTTTAAATTCAAGCCTTTACAATTTAAGAATTACAAAAAAAATAAAAATAAAAACAGGGAACGTCCAAAGAGCCGATCCAATTACCATTATATAGAATGAAAGTCCTGCCACTGAAGTGAATAGCCATGGGATTCAGCACTGCAGTCTCTCTCTTCTCCTCTCCTCATTTTTAAATCCCAAAAGGTAAGAAGAAAAAGACAAGAAAGCACAAATTTCACTGACTACTTGCAAAAGCCTGAAACAAACCTCTGGCAGTCCCTTCAAGTAACTCAGTGTCATTTTATAGCCTGGATGACTGCTAGGAAGAACTGTCACTGCCACATACAAAAATCATCTGTCTTTTTGCATGCATGTGTAATACAAACACACAATATGCTCTGTACTGACTTCCAAGATTTTTCTACAGGAAGAGAGAGTATAATCTAGTTCTCTTACTAGCATTAACCTGCATATAATTTTGACTGAAAACAGCTACCAAACGGTGTTTTAGACAGGGTCTACAAGCAAAGTTCTGAAATTTGCCAACATTAAAGTTGGCAGCAATTTCTTCAACATGAAGGCATCAAATCGATTTTCTCCTTCAAATATGAACAACAACATTTATTTTTCGGACTTACTTAGGTTCCCTATTTAAACCTCCCCCAAAATTTCCATAAGCTAGCTGCTAGACAGCATCAACAGCATAGAACAGCCTCAGCAGCACAGAAGAGCTGACAGAGGTGAGTGAATGCATTTCACAGGAAAGATACCATCAAAACGTGGTTCAGCATGCTGGGCTCCTGGTGGCTGCACAACGCCTTAGAAACACAGGCGATTTGTTCTCCAAATCTGCGTCCAAAGGACAGTTTTATCCTACAGTACGCTTTACAACAGCAAATAGCAGCGCCTTTGATACCTGCTGCACTTAATCTTCTTTACAAAGCATGAACGTGTAAAACACCTTTTTTTTCCTTCTGTGTAAGAAAACTCTTAAGCGAGCATGGTTTTGATTAGTTTGCAACCTCTGTTGTTCTGAGGTGCTGCCTTTGGCCAGCTAATCTCACTATGAAATGGACTTAGATATACTTGACATGCTACTGCGTAAAGTGAGGCTTGAAGACAGCAGCTCTCATTCCTACATAACACTGAGAACACAAGTGCACATCTTGAATGGCAGCTTCATCTGCTTCTATCACAAGCCTTTTGTTTAGCATATTATATTTATCAGCTCTAGGCATTACGCAAGCAGATTCCTTTCTGCAAGACCTTGGTTACTTTTCTCAGAATCCTTTTCATTTCCTCTAGGAAATTTAAAAAAAGGAGATGGAGAAAAAAGTATGCTATTTCTTTACTGCTTCAAAGCATATTTCTCAGTAAAGTAAAGGCATGCTTTGTCTGAACTTATTAATAATTCTGTACCGGATACACTGCAAGATCCTTTATCCAAGACTGCAGACCATTTTGCCTTAAATCCCTAATTGGAAATGTTAATGAATCCCTGCAAGCAGGTTGAAACTCCCAACCTCGAAGTGCATCCTGCGGTTATCAGGAGTTTGGAAATAAAATATTTCAGAAGCCTATAACCTTTTAAACGCCATCTTGTGCTTCTCAGGCTCAGCTGAGTTTGCATTAATTTTAGTTTATGCTGCAAGGGCAGAATCTTTAGCAGCATCACCCACAATGTAACTACACAGCACAGGGCTTCCCATCCTCCACAGCCTTTTATGGTTTGAATGTAGCTGCTCCACTAAGTATGTAACTGCATACACTGCCACTGCAGCTGCCTTCAACTTTAATACAGAGGTCTAGCCAACAGAGCCTGCAGGTGCCAATAGACAGTGATTCATTTAGATCTAAACAAGGGTATATTTGATCAAGTACGTAGCTTGGCCTGTTGGGAAGTGCACTGTCTCTTGGCTTCAGCTCTTTTCTTAGGCAGAGGACATCACTGAGTGAAAGAAAAGACACTTTGCACATAGGAAGCCCTGGGTGTGATCCTTGACCCTTCCACAGGAGGCAAGATGGAGCGAAGCAAGTGAGATCATTAGCATGTAGTCTGCAGAAAGTACCTTCTGCAGCCATTCATTGTGCTAAAGCCAAAATGGCACAACACATCTCAAAGCCTTGCAGGCTGTCCCAGGGTCTACAAGGGGAGTGCCAGTTCCAAAGCTACATTCTACAAGTCTGCAACTCACACGCTATGCCCCAAATGCCTGCCCCAACCAAGACAGACACAAACAATTAATAACAGTATTTGAAGAATATCCTTACATGAAGAGGAAATGCAGAGGTCAGAAATGCTGGACCTGCTCCCACTACGAATGGGAGGACGACCACTCGGCAGGGACTGGAGTTTTTCATCCCTACTATGGCAAGAAATGTCATCGTTTTCTGGCCTGGAGGAGAAAGGAGAATGCAGGTTGATGAATTCTTAGAGTCTAAAATGCTGCATGAGAGTTACCTTCAAATTGCCAGTATTGGTGTAGAAGAAATTAATTTTTTTTTTTTTTATATTGCAAACTAGTGTTAAGGAAGGTCATAATTTTAACTGGATGACTGCAGCTCCCCCAAAGCAGCTGATGTTGGGCGTAATTGAAATTAATTTTTTTTCCTACAGCAATAAAGAGCCAAGGAAAGGAAACCATAACTGCTTGCAGTCTGGAGACACAATATACCAGCAGGACGCTTAAAGAAAAAGACTGCAGCAGTGGGCCGGAGAGGTTTCCAATACTCAGCTTTTTCAAGGATGTAAGGTTTGTTCCTGAATATTATGAGGATTCCACTTTGCAGAGAGCAACAGGCAACACTGACTTAAAACAAGGTAGAGGAATAGATCTGTTGACTTCGCAAGTGAGGTAGATCGTTGAGAAAATGAAGTAGCTGAAGAAAGGCAGAAGAGGGTAAAGATTGTTTAGTAATAGGCAACAAAATAGGAGAAAAGCACAAAAGGGGTATGAAAGGGTGTAAGAAAGTGTGGGCTGACCTAGAGAATTTCCCTGGCTATTCATGCCCAATATTAGGTTAAGGTGACTAGAGGACATTTCTGGTTAGAAAGGATGCAGGGCAAGGAGGCAGTTAATGATTTCACAGCTAAGTTAGCTTCTAAGGAAACAGCTAGAGGAATATTAAGTAGTGCAATCCCTCTTGAGTGATCTCAGACACTGAGTCAAAAAAACTCAAAACAAATAAAAGCAAACAAGCCAAAAAATCACTGCTGCTTACATAGCAGTCCCACAACAATTCATCTGAAGTAACTAGAATCTGAAAATATCTGAAATAAAAAAAAAAAAAACCCTGAAATAACTAGGAACTTGTCTGCACTGGGAAGTCATACAGAAATTATCAAGGAATAGCCGCTACATGCACACTAGCTGTTCTGTATTAATTTTCTATGTGATTACTTCTATTCAGCTTGAAAAGTCCTCCTCTATTTTGAAGGGTGAGCTAACAACTTATAAAGAGATACGATATATTATCTCCATCAACTGCTCCCTCTTTCATCATGTGGTTAAAATGGAATATGTTGCATTGTCTCACATGAAGAACTTAAAGCAAGTTATATCCACTGAACACAAGCATTTACACAGTTTTAATGTGGTTTAACTAGTCTGCTGAATCCACAACTTTAGCTAATTCAGACTAACTGTCCTGGAATGCCCCTAGGTAGACAAAAGGGTAAAAAGCATGATGTTTTTCATGCTGTTTGATCTGAAGCAAACACTAACCACTTAAATCATTAAAATATGAAATACATCCAGTTCAGATTTTGCTTTCATACCAAGACAACTAAGATTCAGTCACTTTTATTGTCTTCCTCTTGCAAGGGTTCCTAATAAAGTATTTCTTCATTTTAGTAAATGAATTCTAGCTAAAATTAGAACGGCATAAAAACCATCAGAGCTTGTCCTTTCCTGTTGTAAAATCTAGTGCAAGAATCTCTTTGTCTATTCACTACAATTGCCTTGCACGCAAATGCTAATTAGATAGAGTTTCACCATAAAACGCAAACTTCTCATTCAGGGTGCTATCTCGTGCTTCCTACTTAACACATGGGAGCACCAAACACTCATATTAGTTCTACATTTGACCAAAGCAGGGAAAAATGAATTTCACAGAATCACAGAATCGTTTAGGTTGGAAGGGACCTCTGGAGATCATCTAGTCCAACCCTCCTGCTCCAGCAGGGTCCTCTAGAGCATGTTTCCCAGGATCACATCCAGACGGGTTTTGAATATCTCCCGCGAAGGAGACTCCACTACCTCTCTGGGCAACCTGCTCCAGTGCTCTGTCACCCTCACAGTGAAGAATTTTTTTCTCAGGTCTAGGTGGAACTTCCTGTGGTTCAGTTTGTGCCCGTTGCCTCTTGTCCTGTCACCGGGCACTACGGAGAAGAGGCTGGCCTCATCCTCTTGACACTCCCCCTTCAGATACTTATACACGTTGATGAGATCGCCTCTCAATCTTCTCTTCTCCAGGCTGAACAGGCCCAGCTCTCGCAGTCTTTCTTCATAGGAGAGATGCTCCAGCCCTCTAATCATCTTGGTAGCCCTCCGCTGGACTCTCTCCAGGAGTGCCATGTCTCTCTTGTCCTGGGGAGCCCAGAACTGGACACAGTACTCCAGGTGAGGCCTC